CGCTGCTCCACCATCGACAAGGACTCTATTCACCATCTGTCCTTGAATCTCGATATTCAATAATAAGGGTTTCAGATGGAATCTCATTTCCTCAGATGGAGGATCAATAAAGACAGCATCTCTATGAGGTACTTCACATGATGTTTGGGTAACCCATGTTACCTTTGGCTTTATGATTTCTGAGTAGAAGTCATCTTCTCGATTGACATCATTTTGTTCTTAGTACTCTTGATATTCACTAACATATTCTGCCGGTAGTATCGATATCACTCTGATTTGATGCTCATCCCAAGTACCCTCATTCTTATCATCGAAGAATTCTCTTGCATATTGACTTTCCATCGGTACAATATTCTCTTCAAAGTTTCTATAATTATTCCAATAAGGGATCCTTCCTCCTCTTCTCCAGGGCCTTCCTCGAAATCTCCTTTGGAATGTTGGGAATCCAGCGTTCAACCCTTCATCGTATGACAATCTCTCAAAGACATCATTGCTCTGAAGTCTGCCTCTTCCTCCTCGAGAAGGATACATCTCTCTTCTGACCCATTGCCTTTGATTTCCGCTAACACCAGAACCAACGGATTTTTGTTGACTTTCTTCGATCGTTGGTCGGGCCGTTTGATCCACTTTGTCATTTTTCCTTTTATTCTGGCTCTCGATCTTTTTTATCTGTTCTAATTTGAAAGCTTTGGCAGCCGATTTATCGAACACCGCACTGCATCGTGGGCATAACGACACATCTTCGTCTTTTTCTTTCTTTCTATTCAAAAATTCCATGAGGGAATCTCCTGATCGAGGGTAGATCTCCTTTTCGAACTCCTTCTCGAATTCACTTAGGTCAAATTCCATATCTTCCTCAGATACATCCATCCTAACATGTTTGGGATCAATGTCTTCAGTAACATCAACCATGCCTACAAAGGTAGAATTAGTCATTCGGACATCCTCGGTCATGTTCGTTTGGGGTTCAATGTATCCCACTTGCACTTCAAATGGACTCGTGTCCACTTTCATCGACATCTCTTCAAATTTCAGTCTTCCTTGGTCAATCGCATCTTGGATCGTATTCCTGAAATGTATACAATTGTTAGTCCAATGTCCAAAAACATTATGGAATTTACAATATTTTCGACCATTCCTTTGTTACTGCAGTAGGCGGTTTATGATCTTCACTCAACTTAATTTGTTTGTCTTTTAGTAAAATATCGAAGATTTTATCGAGCCTTTGTCACATCGAAAGTATATGTTCGATTTGCCATCTTGTCTTTTACTTCATTCTTTTGTAGCAATTTACAAATATATGGGGCTCCTACTTTGAGCTCTGCTATATTTACTTTCTCATCGACAGTCTCTTCCACATCATTTTACGTCGTGGGATGCTGTTTCATACACATCATTTATATATGCTATTCTTTCTTTCTTCATCGGTTTCTCAAATTTCTTATATCTTTGTTTTTCATATTCAATTTGTTCTACTCTTCTCACCTTATCGACTAATCTGAGCCATATCATTCAATGGTAAATTGACTAACTTTTTCCTAATCGAGAATTCTAAGCCTGCAGAGGCCATTCGACTAATTCATATTTAGGAATTTGAGTAAAGCATCTCGATTTCATTTGTCTAAATCGATTCAAATAATCATCTATGCTTTCATGATTGTATCTTTTTATATTCATCAAGTCGATGAGACTTACTTGAGTTTCTCCTCTAAAGAATTGCTCATGAAAATTTCTTTCCGATTTGCGACCAATTATATATCGAATTGGGTGGCAACGAAGTGAACCAAGTAAAAGCATTTTTAGTCAAAGAACTAGGGAAATATTTCATTTTTAATTCTTCACTCATCGCTAGATCCCCACATTCGATCCGATTCGGGCTACATGCTCGATAGTTGATTCACCAACCTCTCCAGCGAATTTAGTGAATTTAGGTACTTTGTATCCTCGAGGTAATTCCGTCTCGAGAATCGTATTTGGGAAGGGTGACACAAAGTATGTTTGATTGAGTGGTTTAAATTCCATCCCTTGTAGATTTACCCTCTGTCCTAACATGTTATTCTGATTGTGTATATTCTGAAATCCCTCGTTCAAATTCCCATAAATATCATTCCTCACATGTTGGTACTCATTCCCCATATACTGATGTTGATCATTGTTTTTATTTCTCCTTAATAGGTACGGGGGATTGATATTAGTATTCTGATTAGCATGATTTTCTACCCTTGTTTGTCGAGGTACAGCCAATGCATCCCCGATTCGTGACATTTGGTCTGCTAATATCTCGAAACTAGCGGTAGTGTTTTGAACTAATGGATTTAGGACCGTAGTCAATTGTTGTGATAACATATTCACCATCTCAAAATTACTCTCATCCATTTGTTGTCTAAGTACCCCTAATGAATTACTAGATATTTCGGTGCTAGTGTTTTCGATAGTTTCGAAATTGGCTCGATGATAATCTCTATCGAATGTATGTCTCCCATGATCCAGATTTCCTCTATGATCTAGATTTGGAGGTATTTATTGTGTACCTAAATTCTGTCCGCTTCCTGAATTCTGGGGGATTGCTAAGTTTTGAGATGTCCCTAAATTTGGAGGGACTCCGAAATTCTGCGGCATACCTAGTGTTTGAGGCATTCCTAAGTTATATCTCGAATTCCTCAGTGTTGAAGAAGTTCCAACCCCGCTCATATTGTTAAGTGAAAACCCGGGAGGTCTTACACTCATATATGGCCCTACATATGTGGTTGTGGGGTTTCCCACAGTTTGCATATTATTTGGCACCATCACACTAGATCCTACTTGGGTGTTTGCTATTGTGCCTGAATTTTGTTCATTACTCACAGGTATCGACATACTCGTAGTTGTCGATGTTACAGGCATACTCCCGTTGTGCCCTTGCCCCCCAGTATTTGGCGGAGGCACACCACTTAGACCCTCACTGTTACTCTGGTTATTTGAAGAATTTTGACTCATTCTGATAACCCTCCCACTCCTTAATCTCATACACTTTCGAACTAACCAATTGTGTATTTTCAACACAAGTCCCCTACCTGGCGCGCCAATTTGTTTCTGGTGGAATTTCGATCGATTTCGATTCCTAAGATATTTTGATCCTAATCAAAATTCTACCACGTAGGTTCTTTTTGCTTAGGCTAACAAATCAATTTTCAATCGAAATATGTATGAGGATCGTATTTTACCCGATTTCAAAGATACTATTTTTGAGATTTTGTATTTAAGAATGCTCGAAGTAAAGAAAGCAGAAGATATATGTAATCGAAGAGCAGTACTGAAACTTAGATTGCAAAGAGACGTGAACTACGAAATCTTAAATTTGCTTAAGTGTAAAAGACAAGGAGTCGAAACAACAACGATGTAAATATCGAGAAATCGAATTTGCAGGAAATGTAAAGGACAGTAGATCAAAGATGCAATAAATGACTAGAAATTGAATTTGCATTAATGTAAAATGACCAGAGAATTTAAATACAGAAACTTAATTTGTACTGAATCGAAATGACTAAGAGTTGAAAATACAGAAACATAAAATTGCTGAACATAAATTGCATCAAAGTAAATTACCAGGGAAAATACAGAAAGCGATAAAGGTACTCCGTGAGCATAGAAACCCAGATTGTCAGAAGCTTCATGGTGTTCGTCGTTTCTCCGGTAGACTTTTTCACTACTAATTTTGTTCTCTGCCAATTTCTGCTCCATTGTTCCTTCCTCCTTTGCTCTATTTATAGTGCATCGTTCAAGCCTTCCAAGAGCAGTTAACACGACTGCTACCACATTCTACGTGCGTATGACAGTTTATCTTCTATAGTTTCCCACGTTCTCACGATCTTTGACTTTTTCCATGGTTTCGAAACCGCTCTCTATACGTGCATTTGACTTGCTCCCTTTCACGATTTGGTCAAAGTCTCGATATCCACATTGGCTTTCTTCACTATCGATTTTGTATTTTTCGAGAACTTCAAATTGCTTACGATTCCTTTTTAACCTTGGTCTCATATGACTTAGTTTTTATTTGACAACAGGTATTTGGTTATCATTCACTCGATTCTCGATTGTGCTTCTCGATGCTATATGCTACGTACTTCTAATTAGACATCGAATGAATTTTTGTTTATCTTATCAAGTCACATTTCTTTCCTTCATTTTCGATCGCTTTTCTCAATTTGCCACTAACAGTTATCTAAATGTTTCATTTGCTCATTACTTGCAAAATATTATTAAGTACGCTTGTGACCCGTGCCGTGCCCTTAAATAAAAGGGGTTTATTCAAACCTAAAGTTAATAAAAAGTTACTTGAAGTCATCAATATCAAAACAAAAGGGGTTTGTTTGACAATTTAGGTTATTGAGAAGAATAAGTTGATGTCAGTATTATCATTAAAATTTTGTATCTCATAATGCCTGATGAAAATTTGCTTTTATGATAATTTATGTATTTTATTTTGTGGGTGATCAGTGATGATTTTATAAACGGAGAAAATGTTTATAGGGTATGACATGCTTAATTTTGGTCTCATTATGTTTCTATTTTATTAGAATTCATATTTAATTTTTAAAAGGTTTTAATTGAAACCATGTTTCTATTTTGCTTTGCATTTTACATTGGTACTCTGTATGCATTTATTAGAGAAACTACACTTCTTTCCCATATTTTTATAATTCTATTTCTCTTACAACAAATGCATATTTTATCAGGAGGAGAAAAATTTATTTATCTTCAACTCTCACCTATATCTCAATTGGAAACAAAAGAATGTGACCTACTTATAATTTCACTTCTCTTACAATAAATACTTTTTTTTATCTTCTTCCACCTTTTATATTCCCCACTACAAACTTAAAAAAACACAAACCAAAACTTCCCAAAGTTCACAGCCAGATGTGTGATCCAGTTAAATCTATTAAACCAAAGCCTGAAGCCTCAAATATTCAGGTGCGCGAGTGCATTAGAATGCGTCAGGAAGAACATTGATTCCATCATTAAGAACTGGCATCAGAGGCAGCCTTTTTCTCCTTCTGTTTTTCCCTCTTTTTCTTGTTTCGTAATGCGTTCTTGCTCATTGATCTAAATTAATCAAGTTCCATTAATAACAGAATATAATTACTTGAGCATAAAATAAAGGAAGAGGGGGAGGAGGAAAGGTACTTACTCTGCAGCAGTCTCTCCGAACAACTGCAAATACAAATCGTTTTGGCATTATTAGAGACAATTAGCTTTAAGACAAGATGAATAAACATGTATATACTGGAAAAATTAGACTTAACACTCTAAACATCTTCATAACTATAAAGTTATACCATGCTTAAGTATTGCTGCAACTTTATTTTGACAATTATAAATGGAAACGGTCTCCTAGATTGTGGGATTGTGTACCTGTGACTGAATAGCAGCTGCATTCTTAGCATGCGGTGGACGATATGCAGCAGGTTTTTGAGCTGGGGGATTGGTAGAAGAGGCTTTTACAGATGTCTGGGTTGACTTTGGTGGTCCTTGACCTGCAATTAGATCATGGTCTTCAAAGAATAAAAGATATAATAACTAAATGAAATATTATAAGCATGGTAACGAACCTGATGGTTTTGTATCTTCAAGTTGTACCAAATTTAGAGACTTAATTAATTCGGCAATATCACCAAACTTACTGGGTGACTCTGGTTTCCAATCAGCCTGCAAATAGTTTGCATACAATTCAGTAATATCTGTGATGGTGATAAGAAAAACGAATTAATCAGCAAAAGTTCAACTACTGACCTGGTACAATTTGTCAAACATCTTCTTGAAGTACAGTGACCCATTGTAGTGGAAAATCTTGATCCTTCAACAGAAGAAAAATATAACAAATAAATTATTTGTGAATAAGACTATGACCAACAAAAAAGTGGAAACCAACATAAAACAATCAGTATAAATGTTCTCCTAAAAATCATCTGAATTATTTCCCTATAAGCCTATAGGTGTTGTTCAAATTAATCATTGACTATATATGATCAAATAGATGGAAGCGGATAAAGTGGCCAATAAGGATGATATCTTTACAATAACAACAAAAATGCATGATTTAGGCATTGAGAAATCCAAAGTCCTGCTAATGGCCAACTAATACATACCCATTGTCAACTTGAAGCCTTGGAGCTGTTGTAGCTGTCATGAAATAGCACCCATCTGCAGACCATTCACTAGTCACTGACCATTCAGCCTTAGTGGTTCCAAGTTGTTTTTTATCTATGTAATCCCAGAATACCTAGCACATAAGCATGAAAAAATGTGAAATCCATATACAAAGCATGTGCTTCTTGTATGCATTTGAGCACGAGTCTAACGAAGTAAAGCAGATACTTTGCAATTTCTTTTTCATTTCAGTTATTGTTTTAATAAACTAAATAAAAAATGCTACGTGCATGTGTGGGAACCACAAACTTTTGGAAATAATAATTTTCTTTCAAGAAGCTAGCAAAATCAAAGTGAATATTTTTTAAATATAATTGGAAGAGATTAGCACCAAAAATAAGAAACTGCAAGTCAATAATCATTGAAAATTAAAATGAAACTAAAATGGAGGAAAATGAACGAGATTCACTTGGTTTGGTACTAAGACAACTTAACATTTTTAAGGGGTGTTTGGAAGTGCTTAGTTAAGTTTATCAAAATAGCTCATCTCAATAAGTTTCTTATTGTAACTTATATTTTAGCTTATTCCAATAAGTTTCATGGTCAAATGTAAGGTACAAGTCCCCAGGTAGTCAGATGTTATTGAAGTTGTTTACCCAAACACACCCTACACCCTCAATTGATTCTTATGCTCTATAAGTGGTTGTCAGTCATAATTTGTTTTCCAACAAAGTGAATTAGTAATCCTAGATAAGCCAATCACATATCAGACCTTTTCCACAGAAAGGAAAAATCAAAACAGAGTATAATGATTCAAATAGTCAGAACATACCATATCACCAGGCAAGTTACCAAAGCCAGCCAAACACAAAACTGGAAGCTAACAATCAAGGAACCCATATTTAGATACTTGTATCATAAGAATATCGAGCCACTTCAAATTTCCATTGTGAACAAAAACCTCCGGGACCCTTTAAAAATTTAAAACAGAAAGAAAGAAATCTCCATATGATAAGTGTTAATTTATTTGATTATATACAGAGAGAATGACAATTCACCAGCCAAGGATACATTTCCCTTGCGGGTTCCATCGAATAGTGTTGTAAGGACCAGTTCCAAGCTCTAGAAGAGGATTGCACTTCTTGTCGAACAGAGTTGCTCTAGCAGGCATGACTAAAACAAGTTAAGGAAAAATAAAACATTCAAGAAATCTATAATGATTCATTAAAAAGTCATTAATATAATACATACCCAGAATACCCACCATCCGACTACTTAAAAAGGTACAATTCATAAGGCATAAAAAACTAAGCAGGAAACATATAGTTCAGTATGGTGTATATGGCTTATCAAAAACCATATGTGAGGGATTAGGTTTTTCAAATAAAAAGATAAAGTAGCAGCTCTAGTATATTTTTCAAAGCATTACCCAACATGGATATATGAGCATCCCAAAATAATGGTGTGTTTCCAAAATGGGTACATGGTTTTGCCATAAGTTCTAAATTTGTATAAGGTATCAAACCTGGCCCCTAATATTCCATGTTAGGATATCTTCAGAAAATATCAAACAGTGGGAACTTTAGTGCATGCTTCTTATCATCATATTGTATATATCACAGAGAAAAGGATACATCCATATACAACAGCAAATTCCAAGCCAGAATATGACCACTGAGCATCATGTATAGGCCCATCTTTCCCTGCCAATTTGTTTTAAAAATAGAATGTTACCCTTCTTATAGAGATTATGTAAACAATTACAGTTAGTTTTACTAGCAGAAAGAACATACGAAGAGGCACAAGTCCTTCATGCATTCCATCAGTAGTCAAATAGCATAATTTTGATTCTCCATAGTAACTCTGGTTAGTTTTGTCAACATCTGACTGAACCACCACTAGAAGCCCAGTTGAGCCATGATTCCATTTAAGTTGGGTGGTTGAACATCGGAAAAAACTACGACGAGCAACAGGTTGACTTTGAGATGCATTTCCAGAAGCATATATCTGTACACTAGCAGGAACCCCCTACAAGGTAGAGAACTTCATAATATAAGCATCAAAATCGAAAAGGTGTGATAAATAATCATTGTTTCTAGATGCCTGCCAAACAGGATATAAACCTATACTCTGAACATGTATTTAATTTGATCAATATTGACTATCAATGGGACATAATGGAAGATTGCATATGCAAAGATAACCAGATTAGATTTACAATAATAAAAAGCCTTTAGGACCACATATTTTCATAGAGTCATCAATCATTCCCAGGCTACCAATCAATCCAACAAACCCAGGAAAATGCAGTGATCAATGGTTTTTTTCTGTGAATATTGATCAATTATTAAAATTGATTTTGAGAAGAAGAAAAATGAGACTCTCGTATGGGAATCCATGTCTTAACAACACTGGAAAATATTATTTATATTAAAAGCAATAAATGCAAGGATTAATTCCCTAATTATTGTAAGTAAATACAATCTTTCTAACACTTCCCTCAAGTTAGAGCATATAAATCATTTATACCAAGCTTATTACATATCATCCATAAGTTATATGTGATCATATCAAAGACTTCATGAAAACATTTGTTAATTGGTCATCTAAACTAACAAAGGTAGCGTTAATGTCTCCAGATAAATCCTTTCTAGGGAATGTCAATCTATTCCAATGTGTTTGGTCCCCATGTGAAAGGTTGAATTAGAGGTGATATGAAATGCAGCTTGACTATCACAAATGAGTGTCATTTGCATAACCTCCCCAAATCTACATTCTTGAAGAAACTGTTTGAGTTAAATAGCCACAGCTCAATATTCTGCACACTTGTTGCAAATAGTCAATTCCATGGCTCAATATTCTACTTTTCAAACATTTTTTTTTCTAACTTTTCCATGAGATCAGGTCATCACCAACGAATATATAATGCCCAAAATTATATCTCTTGTTCGCAGGAGAGATTGCACAAAATACCACACCACTCATGTATGGCCTTTCTACTCAGATTCTAGACCTTTTCCTCAAACTCTTAACATACTTCAAAATGTGTATTGCAACATCCCAATGTCTTTCACAAGATGACTTAAGAATTTGGGCCTACTATACAATATAGTAGCAGCAAAAGACACATGAGATAATTCCATTTTTGTACCAGTCTTCAATATCTTTCTAGGTTTAAAAGTGGTTCTCCCTGACCAAGCAAAAATTATGGCATTAGGATCCAAAGGAGTGTCTCAACAGACCTAGTATTTATCAAAATCGTTACCTAGAGAATGCCCATTGCTTACATCCTTTTCGGATTCTGCTTCCCCTATTCCCACAAAGAAGCAAAGTCAGACAAATTTTTTGTCTTAAAGAGTTGACCACAATGTTGCTTTACCTAGGAATGTCATGGTGATTATAGCTTGTAATGACAATGTTGATATACACAACCAAGTAAATGCACCCTGTGACTGAATGGCGATAGAAATCCAAGTGATCAACCTCACTTTGAAAATCATATCAAACTACTGAACCAGAGTGATAAATCAGCCAAACCAAGCCCTAGGATATTATAGACTGTATGGAGATATACAAAAACAACTAACTTGTCTCAAGTACTGCCATCTAAGAAATTAATCCAGGAGGTTGCTCCATTTAAACATTTTCAATGAGATCACATAGAGCAAAGCACTTCCATACCAATCTAACAAAGAGGCTAATGGAAAATAGCAACAATAGACAAGAACAATATAACATTAGTCATTTGAGCTATCAAAGAAGAAATTGGCACCATAAATCCATAATTCAAGCCAAAAACCAAGTTGACCATCAAGACCTACTTTAATAGTACAGATCCACTTGCATCGTACAACCAACTTCCATGCAGGGAAAGAAACAAGGTCCCTTATGTCATTGCTCTGAACTACACACATCTCTTCAAACATAGGCAATCACCACCCAAAATGAGAAAGGTCTTCACCTGTTGTAGTCTTAGGATCATAACACATAGCAAGATGTTTAAATAGAGTCTTTGTGTTCAACAACACCATTTCGTTGATGGCTACGAGGATGTGAACTTTGGTGAAGAATACTACAAGATGCAATGGGTATTTGGAATTGTTTAGATAAGTATTCACATGCAATTACACAACACGGAGTATGAATTGGAACAGCAAGCTGAATTTGAAATTCATTTGAATGGTTGAAAAGATGGTGAACAATTCAAACCAACTTCTCATTTAAAACAACCAAGTACATTAAGAGTAATTGTCTTGTTGTCAACAAAAAAAAAGTGACAAAGTATCTATAACCCAAATTAACTATTATAATTTAGATTTGGATTTAGTTCAACCCAACAAATTCAACTTATAAGGTGAGCACTATCCTCCACCTATATACTTTAATTTGACCACATTAATTAGTCAATATGAGATTTCAAGCACACCCCTCAAGCTGGGAATTGGGTTTCTCAAGTATCAAGTTGCAAGACTGAACATCTATGTGTGATCCAGTAGAGATCCGATCAATGTGCACTCTTGCAAACTTTACACTCAAGATACCCAGTCTTAGATGTGAGAAGGTGTGTTGGAGTTCTTACATCGTTATTGTTGGAGGCCATACATTGACTAGCAATATGGTCGGATTAAAGTATACAAGCGGGGGACAATTTCACCTTATAAGCTGGATCTGTTTAAGTTAGACCCAAATTCAAATCATAAGAACTTTGGTACCATGTTTGAAGTTAAGTCAATCCCTTAAAACTGGCTCATAAAGTGAGGGTTATCTTCTATTTATTTACTTTAATTTAGTCATACCATTAGTTGATGTAGAATCTTCAACCGTAACATTGACAATAAGACAATTACTATCAATGTACATATTATTTGCACTGATAGCACTAGTTAACTACTCATTAGAAATATTATTTGCACTTGAAGAAATACATAAAAGGATTTATTATTAGCCTAATTGTTGTTATTACATAACACTCTGTGTGTGTGTGTTACAGTTTACTAAATTGAATTAGTGGATATCTTCATTTGTTTCAATTTGGTCCTTCCATTCACCCAGCAGTTCAAACTCAACACCTTACATTAACTGAGAAAATACAAGTAAAGGACCAAATTGTGAAATGGTATTACTTTTATAGACAAAAATAGTAGTAAACTATGTAGTAAGTTATTTGAGTTATCTCAACCCATTGGAGTCAACTGAGCATCATAAATACACAACACATCAGCAATATCAGATCCTTTTTATGTATCAATGCTTCGTGAATTTCACATATTAGAAACCTACAAACTGCATGCCAAAAGACCAATAATACCAAAGTCTCATTCATTTTGTCACAAAAATGTAAAGTAAGCCTCCACCAAAAGCATTATTAAGGGAGAAAAACCTTGGATTCTGGAACAAATGCAGCTACATGAGAACCCGGTAAACTAGAAAGCTCAGCAGCAGCAACCCCCGGAACTCCTAACCGACAGATAACTCCTTTAGAAAAATCCCCCGTGTCAAAAAATTGCACCTCATTAGTTGCCAACCGACATGCAGTAGCTTCATCAGAACTAAACTGAACCGCAGGCCTGAATACAAGACAGACACACAGGCATAGTGACAGTTAAAACATAAGCCACAGCAAGAATGTTAGCCATTTATCAGTAAACCGCTCTCATACAAAAACACAACATCGTGAACAATTCCCCAATTGCTATCTTCTACACGAAGGAAATGAGTCATGTCTAATAAACGTCTCTCTAAGCGATTTTATGAAAAGAAATTAAAAAAGGTAAAATGAAACAAGTATGTTTTTTGTCTGCTAATTTGTAAAAGCTGAGTCATTTAGCTTCTCCAAAAACTTATTTTTATCTATGCATTAACTTATAAAAATACTTATTGCATTTTTCCTTCTTTGTTTCCAACTACAAGTGTTAAGGATAAGTTTATCCAAACAGAACTAAGATCACGTAAACTAGAAGCATAAATTTGGTATAACACTTTGGTTTACATAAACAATGAATTGTTCACACACCAATTGCCTTTAGTCATGTTCTTTTGCGAGTGTTGGTAAACAGGTGCGCCGGTGTCGATTTTCCACAGCGTCACGTTCTTCTCCTGCGGCGCCGAAGGCTTCTTAAAGGTTTGCAAGTAAGTTCCAAAGGGCGACAAGGTAGCGGCAACGACATTGGGAACTTCAAAATTCCTAATCTCTTTAGCAGTGCTGCAATCGTACACAGTAATCGTCGAGTTGGATTTGGTCACCATGAGTTTGGATCCATCGTCGCTGAACTTGGCATTGACGCAGTTAACTTTGTCGAGCTTGAGGGCGGGTTGACCGTTGGCGAAGGGAGGGCCGGTCCAGAGCGAGAATTGTTCGGGTCCTCGAACTGAGAGGGAAGCCAAGAGGAAAAGTTAGAGAGAGAATGAAAGAGAAAGCGATTGAATCCAAGAGAAGTTGGAGCTGGTGTTGGTGGATGAATACCTAATATCTCGAGAGGTGGTGATTGGTTATTTGATGCCATTGGAAGCGATTCAATTTGAGCGAAACGACGACGGAAAATTGAGAAGCTTGTTTCCTGTTCGTTACTCAGTCGTCGCCGGAGGGGAACGACACACGCCGCTACTCTGCAACACTCTGAAGGGAACTCACTTCATTTCCGTGTACAAATAATTTTTTAAAATTCACTTCCATTGGTTTTTATAAATTTTTTATTATTGATTATTTATTAATTTAATTACCGAATATTAAATTAATTATTAATTTAATCTTTCAATCTTCTAAAATTAGTTAAATATATATTTCACAAATAGTCCCTCACATATCATTAACATTATAAAAAATAAAAAAGTTAGAAGGATAAATGACCAGAATTTAGGTCTAACAATCTTAATTTTTATTTTATTGTAATTTTTTTATTATAATTTCTATAGATCATACTATTATGCTTAAAATGTTGGTATCATTTTAATAATATAGTTTTTATAATTTTTTTAACTATAGCCGAAAGAATAATAAAGTTTATTTCAATTAAAATATAAAATAGTTTATATAGTGTATTTTAATTTTAGAAATATATTAAAAATATATTTTTAATATTAAAAATATTTTAAAAGTATAGAGAGAAAATTATTTGAGAACTCAATTATAAAAAGGAGTCACGTGGACAAAATATAATTAGAATAGATAATTTTATGATTACATAATAAATATTAAATAACTGTCTTCTTCTTTTTCACTCTTCTTTTCTATTTTCTTTATTAGCTATTGATTCTTTTGTGTTTATACACGGTTTATAGAGAAGTGTGAATGTTATTCTACCCACGTTTATTTTGGAAAATATTCTAAAATAAGAGGACAATCACTTCAAAACTGTATAAAATTTTTGAAACGCAAACCCAAAAATGTTTCTACTCAAACTTTGGATGAACATAATAAAAACTCCATAACTTATGTTTTACTCTACCATACTATCTAAGACCAATTTTATAAAACCAAATCAATACAACTTTACCTTCAATTTAGGTTTTGAAATCATCCAAATGGTTATGAAATAAAAGAGTTATGATTTTTAGAGGCTGATGCTTTAGTTTTGAAATAAAATATTTTTTTAATATTTTATTTCGTTAAAATAAATTTGATGGAGAAATAATATTAAAAATAAAATTGTTAATTTAAATTAAATTAAACATATTTTTATCTACTTTATTCAATTCATAATTTATTTGGTTTTAGTTCATATCAATCTTTTATGATGAACCTATTTTATAAAATAATAAATTATTTTAATAAAAATAAAAGAGATATTATTTTATTAAAAATATTATAAATTAATTTAATAAAAATTTAATTTATAAGTTAATATCAAAATAATTCCATCAATTCATTTATTTTAAAATCTTATAATAAATATTAATTATTATTTTATATCAATAAATTATTAAAAATATAACATTAATAAAAAATAAATTTTTAACTATAATCTTAAGATTAAATAAAATTATTACCTAATAATTTATATACTAAATTGTTAATTTTAAATATAAATAAATTTTATTAATATAATTTAAATTTTTAAAAATATATTTATTTTTATTTAAATTTTTTTTAATTAATTATTTTAATATAAATATATTAATAATTTTTTTAATTTTTAATTAGACTAAAATTGCTTGGTTAACCTATTTGTCTAATATAATATATCAAAGGTTAAAAAGTCGTTTGTCTTAAAATATAGTTCATATGATTAATTTTTTATTTTTTATAATATAAAAATTTCATAAGAAGTATTTGATGTGATAGAATATCATCTAATATTTGTAGCATTTGATGTTTCAATTAACGTTTGTATAATATTTTTATTGTATGATACATAATCTAATCTAATATGTTACATAATCTAACGTTTATAGTGTGAGATCATGCCTAATGTTACATCATCTAACATTTGTTTCATTGTATAATTTAAGGTTGAATTAAGTTTTATATTTTATAAATTTTAATATATTATATTATTTGAAGTAGTTTAAATGAAAATATTTTCTTTAATATTTTTTAAAAAGTATAAAAATATTGAAATCCATGTAAGAGAGCTTGAGAAAGACTTATAAACTCTTAATCACTTTTAAAATAAGGAAATATAAATATAATGTTAAGTTAAAAGGCATAGTTGAAATCACACGTAATAATAATATATTTATATTATCACGAATTAATGAAATATGACTAAAATAGTAAAGTTTAATGTTTATAAAAAAACAAAAGTCAATTTTCGTTAGAGGAACAAAATAATAGATAAAGTACAGCTGCTAATAACATATTTTAGTTATTATTTAGTTTTTTTTCAAGAAAAAATTACGTGTACCATAATTAATAAGAGATATATTTTAAATATTTATTATTTTATTTGTTTTTATATGTGTAGTTTTTTTAAAATAGTTTTTATTTCAATTTATCTTTGTCATGTTCAGAATTACATTTTGTTTTTCAATCATATTTTTACTTTCTGTAATGTTTAAAAAGAATTAAAATATTTTCTTTAAATAATTATAACTTATATTTATTATATATATATATATATATTATTAAATAAATTGATTATAATTTATATCAAACAAAATATGATAGATAATTTATTATTTTTCATTTTTTATTTAATTTATAATTAACTAATAAATTTTATTTAAGTATAAAAAATATAATAAAAGATATTATGAATATAATAATAATTAATTAAACTTGGAAATTTATAATAATTTTATATCTATTATAAAAATTAATTTTTATAATTATATTGATAGATTAGTGATATTTATATAGAGTAAAAATATTAAATATTTTTGTGAGAAGAAAATATCTTTTTATAATTTTTAGATTAATATTTTTGGTAATAAGATTTTTAAGATAAAAAATCATAGAAAAAAATGTTATTTTTAGTTAAATGAGGAGTAAATTATTCTTACGTTTTTTTTTAAATGATATTTGCTATGTAATAAGATCCAAAGACATATAAAAAAAATAGATATTCAGATTTTTTTATATTTTACTAAATAAAATATCTTATCTTATGTATTTTATTAAATAAAATTAATATCTTTTTAAAAATTTAAATTATATTAATAAAATATAATACTATAAGGATTATAAATGTATAATAAAGACTAATAAAATCAATATTATAATACTTTCCTTAGATGTCTAATGATTGAAGAATGAACTTTGTTAAAATTTTACAAGAAAATAAAAAAAAATTATAGTTTGATAAAAGTCCAGTGAAGGAAAAAGAATCATAATTGTTCAATTTTTAAAATATGTTCATTTTTCTTCTTCATAAAAACAATTATCATTGATAATAAAGACTGATTTTGTGAACCTAAGAAATTCCCATTCACAAAGATTTTATAAATAGATGTGTAAAATTTTTCATAAACAAATTTTATAGATCATAATCTTTTTGGAAGAATTATATGTTGTTTTATTTACTTTAATATTCACAAAAATTTTATAAATAGATGTGTAAAAATTTTCATAAACAAACTTTATAGATCATAATCCTTTTGGAAGAATTATATGTTGTTTTATTTACTTTAATATATATTTCTTTTAATGGAGGATAATACATGTTTTTATATATAATAATTGATGTTAATTTTCTCAAAAATAGATAACAAATTTTTTTTATAGTATGATTGAATAATACTGTTATTTATTTTATATATTGACATAAAATTATAATGTTAACAAATATCTTGTTTGTAATTAACAGAAAATCTAACAATTAATATGCATGCATATGTATTAAACTAACTTTTTATAACTTATTAGATACGTTAGAACTTCAATGGATGTGAGATGACTATAAATCTCAAAAATTTTATAATTTTTATTAGTATTTATGATTTTGACCAAAAATTTAATAATTATTAAATATATCATGTATATTTATAAATTTGACCTCTTATCTTTTTACATATTTTACCTTTTCATATTCGTTTATTATTTATTAATAATATATTATTTGATATAGTAAAGATATGTAACCCAATATGATTTTAAAACATTTGAATAAAATAAGTTTATTCCTCAAGATAATAAAATACATAAAATATCTTTTTTATAAATAAAAAATTATACCTGACTAATAAATTTACAACAAATGTCATTTAAGTTTAGTGTAGTTAACAAGGTATATTATTATTATTATTATTATTATTATTATTATTATTATTATTATTATTATTATTATTATTATTATAATATGGTACTTAAAAAAAGTATTCATTCTATCTTTAATTACATCTAAATATCTTTCCATCATTCAAGTGTAAAATAGGCATAAATTATTCACATAAAATCTGTAAGTACTTACGTTATGTATATACTCCACGTTAACTTAACCACTTAAGTTTAAAATCAGTATTAAAAAAAAAAAAAGAAAACAAGGGATATTATAGAAGTGTTTTTATTTAAATACTAAATATATAATAAAAATAAAACTTTATTCTTCATCTCAAGTTTTTTTCATTTTTATAAAAGAATTAACTCTCTTCCTAAAATGTTTTAGGAGCTTAAACACAAACAAGACAACTAAATCATTTTTAGATAAGGATAAAATAAGATAATTTTTATTTCCTTCTTTTAACACAAAATAATTAGACAATTATACCATAAACATCTTGATTTCTAAAATTCATGAATAAACTTATTCAACTTGATTAAATAATTCTCATTATAATTTGTTTCATTTGATAAATTAAATCCTTATGTGATTTTCATATAGATATCTTTTTGTGTGTTTTATATTTCAATATTTTCATTTATCGTTTTTACAAAAGAGTTACCTCTCTGTAATTGGTTTAACATCTTTAAATATTTAGACTATAAGTTCAAAATTCTTTCACATATTAAGAAAGTATAATTTTCTTTTATTTCATATTTCCATTTTGTTCAATCATTTTTTTTGTTAACAATAATTGTGAACTTTGGTTTCTAATTCTCAATATCATTTAGTAGTATACTAAAGGA